AAGTAATATAGGAAGAAAAGCCCTAGCGGATGTTCTCAGTGAAGCCTCACCGGCAACTGGCACACCTTGTAGTAACAATGCTGTTCTTTTTGAGTTCTGAATTATTTTTATGTCCTTCAGTAAGACCCAGACATTGCCTCATTGCTGTCTCATGCAAGAAGTATGTGATGCAAGGAATTCTAGGGAAATCTGTTTCCCCCATTAGGGTGGTATGTACATTAAATATAATTATTCAATTATATCACTGCAAAGCCTGTGGCTAGTAGATGCTGGTTCATGTTTATTAGAAGTTCTGAGACTCAGCCGGGCATTGGTGGCGCTCGCCTGTAATCCCAGCACTCAGGAGGCAGAGGCAGGCTGATCTCTGTGAGTTCGAGGTCAGCCTGGTCTCCAGAGAGTGTGCCAGGATAGGCTCCAAAGCTACACAGAGAAACCATGTCTCAAAAAAACAAAAAAACAAACAAAAGAAGTAGTAGTTCTGAGACTCTGTGAGAAAGAAGTCCTGGGCAGTCAGGTTACTGAGTCTCACTGACCATCATGACGCTAGATATATGCAAGAGACCCAAACAGTGTGGTCCAGCTTTGGATGCCTTAAAAGATGAGGGAAGGTAGACATTTGTTATCTGATATTATATCCACTAGTTCCTTCATTTTTCAGTTAAGATATATTCTTGAGCTAAGGAATGTCATTCAGTTAGTCAGTGAACCGTTATAAAGGCAGGAAGGATCCTGGTGGCATCTTATATTTCTATCTCAGTTCTACATCATACCAACTATATGGTCTGAGAATCAGGGCACTAATATGTAGCAAACCTGTAGTTTGACTTAATGATGTATGCACGCGCACAGTCTCTGGTTTCCTTCTTCACTGTTGTTGCATTTTTGTTTGTTTGGTATGGTTTGGCTTGGCTTTGGTTTAGGGTGTTTTGAGATTTTGTCTGACCTGGAACTCATGATTTCCCAGTCTCACACTTCAGTGCCAGAATGGCAGGTGCACACCACCAAGCCCAGATAATGACCTCCTCCCAAGGAATGTTAGTTCTCTTTCTCTGAACAACTTTCTGATGACAAAACTAGTAGATTCTACCTACTCACAATGGATAACTGATTCACTTATGTTGGTGGTTCTCAAGCTGTGGGTCTCAACCCCTATGTAGGAGTGGAGCGTCCCTTTCAGTGGGGTCAAATATTAGACATCCTGCATATTAGATATTTACATTACTATTTATAACAGTAGCAAAATTACAGTTATAAAGTAACAACTAAAATAATTTTATGGGTGTGGGTTACCATGACATGAAGAACTGTGTTGAAGGGTCACAGCATTAGGAAGATAAGGACCACTGACTTAGATACTCACTAGAGCATCCCCTTAACTATCTTATCTTAGAGACAAAAAGATTTTCAAGACTCAGGAACTGAACAATGAGGCAGTTGTCATGTAGTGACCCATTTCATGGCTTGAGCCCAAATCCCATAAAAGTTTTAAGCTAAAACAACAACAAAACCCAAAATACTAAAGAGTTATATCTGTGGGCCCAGCCACATTTTAATATTGAATTGGAGTCACATCAAACCAAGACTATGAAGGCATAAAATCCAGTGCATAAGAAGGAAGTGGTCACCTCAATGGAAACAACACAATGATGATGAGACCACACCAGAAAAACACATGACATTAGAGCAACCACTCACCCTATGACAAAGTTCCCCTGGCTTTATTGGTAAGAACAGGCTAAAACCAGTCCTAACAATTTTGTGTTTCCAACCCTGTGCTCTGCCTAGAGTAGTCTCCATCCAACATGGCTGCCTGAACTGATAGGGTGAGAAAGGATTAGGGTAGAAAGTAATAAAGCAAGATGAGTAATACACAAAAATCTACTTTAGGTGATTTACACATACAATTACATAACACTACTTGGAGACAGTTTAGGAAAGAATGTTTATCATTTTGTAGCTGACTGAGTGATGTTCATATGGCAAAACTGTATGCAGCCACCAAAATGATGTCCTGAAAAGCAAGGCATGATGATGGATACCAATATTCCTACTAGAGCAAGTGGATTGAGAATCTGAAGGCAGCCTGAGTTGCATAGTGAGATTCTGCCTCAAAAGAGAGAGAGAAAGAGAGAGAGAGAGAGAGAGAGAGAGAGAGAGAGAGAGAGAAGATGCTGTGGAATATTTTTATTGTTGAATGAAAACAAGTTGTGAATGGTACCTAAACTGGTAGCATAGTTCTAAAGAAGGGCCCGGAAAAACAAAGGGAAGGAAGAGGAGAGGAATAGGAAAAGGAGAGGTGTGGGTACATGTATACTATAGTAGTAGTAGTTTACTTTGAAAAATAGAAATATGGGTAACTTTTTAAATTTTATTTTGAGTTTAAAAATGATCTGCGTTTCTTACAATGTATATGGATAGTTGATAATTTTGAAGCTATTTGTGTGTGTGTGTGTGTGTGTGTGTGTGTGTGTGTGTGTGTGTGTGTGTGTGTGTACCACAGTGCATGTGGAGGTCGCAGGACAACTCTTCAGCAGATCAAACTTAGGTCATGAGGCTTGGTGATGAACACCTGTACCTGCTAAGCCATCTTGCTTGCCCTTGAAGCTATATTTAAAAGAAAATTGTCCAAATTTCAGTATTAACTAAAAATAACAGGAGAAACTTAGAAACTATAAAATATTAAACTAGTCCCTATCAAATGTTTAGAGCAAGTTTTAAAACATCCTTTGCTTAAAATAGTGTATGGTAATAATAATTATGTAATAGTAAAATAACAAGTAGCAAATACGCCAATGTGACTAAAGTGATTTCAGGCTGACGCCATCTACTCAGCAGCCTTAAGGTAAGGGTGTTGAAGGGCTGCCTAACCAAGCACAACAGAATCCCCTGCCTTTCAGTATTTT